CATTGAAAGCAAAATGTACCCCAGCAGACATAATTTCACAAAAGAGAAGAGAAAAGCCACATTTGTACAAAAATCACAGCTGTTCAACTCTACATTTTGCACATTTTTGCATTAATTTTTTTCCCTTTCTTTAAGAACGGTGACAGTTACATTTCCAGTTAGTAGCTTTCGGACTTCTTAATACACTGGTAATTGCTACCCAAGCATGGATTTGGTGTCTGTCAAGAAAAATTGGACTGAATTGGTTCTGCTGCTACATAAAGTAAACCTCACTCTATATGACTGGCTCTCACAGGAAATGAAAAAAAAAAAGGATGATGAATGGGGTTTGAGGTCCTATAAAACACAGAGCAGTGCGGTTATGTATGTAGAGATGCATCAGCTGCTCCAAAAGGGTGCTCACGTCCTCTTGCTAAGGGCCACACAATTAGAATGTCTCTGCTTTCAGGTCTTGCTCCCAAATGCATTGCCTAGTGCCGTTGCGGTGGAGGGCCTGGACCTTGTGGTCATATACTTAGCCCAGGAGCTCATCTGCTAGGGCAGTGTGGGCAGCATGAATTTCCTCATCTGTGAATTTAAGATGATTTACTTTATTGTCACTGTAGAGGATAATATATGTCCCAAAGACAAGTGAATATTCAACCTAACCCATGATACATCCTAAACAATCAATAAATATCAACTATTTGGGTATGTAGAGGTTAATGATGATGATGATGATATTTTCTGGTTTTGAATGTATTATCCCTTCAATTTTAAAAGTGATATTGGAGGGGACAGTATAGATGCACAGTAGATAAAGTTAGTTGTTGTGGTCAAGATCTGCTCAGTTTCCAGCTATGTAAACAACCTCTTCTGCTACTGATGACTTGAATTCATATCTGCCTGTGTGTGGCTGATAGGAAAATGTCTGGTTGAGGAGTCTGAAGCACAGTACTGGTTTTACTCTGCTCTGAGGGCTCTGTCTGTTGGAGAGTGGTTAACTGCTTAAGTGGCCCTGTGGTGTCCATACATTGAGGGAGTTTTGTTGTTGCTGTTGTTTTTGCTACTGCTAAGAAATGTAGAATTTTTTTTTTATAGTTTGTTACTGATATCTCTAATTGAATAAGTGGGTATATAATTAAACATAAAAATGACAGTTTTACAGAGAAGTCACTATTGTCACAAGTAACATTGGTGAATCAATGTTTTCTGGACTGCAGAGATATAATAAAGATAGACCTGCTTTTTAAATGAAATGGTGGCATTGGGGTTTGAACTTAGTACCTTAAGCTTGCTAGACTGTAACTCTACCATGTCAGTTATGCCTCCAGTCCTGGTATTGCTAGTTAAGTTTAAGATAGGGTCTCACAAAGTTTTTGTTCAGGCTGTCCTTAAATTATGGTCCTTCTGCTCTCAGTTTCCATAGTAGCTAGCATAAGAGTGACCTATCAACACCCAGCTAAAATTAATTAGTAATATTAAAATCTTAAATATGACTTCTTAAGATGTTGGTATTAACATTATCATGATGATATGCCTAACAGCTTATGGTAGGAAGTGTGTAGCTTATATTTCTGATAGAAAAGTTGTTATACTTACTTAACTTAGATCAGAAATCTATCTTTTCTGTATAACAATCTATTAGAAATTAGGGGAAAAAAGTTGAAACCCAACCAAATGCATCAGAAAAAAAATTAAGTAGCCTTTATCTCCAACAAACAGCCTATAGACTAAAAATAATGACTACCTGATTATACTTGTACTTATATAACTTCTGTAAACAAAATTACTATTCAGAACCAATAGATAACAAGTAGAAAGAACCAATAGATAATAGGTACAATGAATATGACATGCACAGCTGAAAGAAATTAGGTCAGTAAGTGTATTTTTACTAAAATATTTGACAAATTGTCTTTGCTCTAGTGGAAGATATTCATTAAATTGATGCATGCATTATATAGAATAAATCAAGTATCAATTCCATTGACAATTTATCAAAAATGTTTCTGAGTAATACTAGGATAGGATTTTACTTGACATTTTATCTGTATTATCGAGTTATAAGTGTGTTTATCTCACTGTTCTGCTCACCCTCTTATGCTCAGACATCTAATTATTGATATTAGTAGAGACAACAAGAAGGGAGTTAAACTATTTTGACTCTCAATAATTTGTATATATGGCCTCACAATCACTCGAATCTACAACTATGAGATATAGTCTTCTGATCTAATTACACGAACATGACTGAATTCTGAAAATTGTTCTGACAATGATTATGCTACCTAAAAAATGAAGGGGAGAAGTGTAAAAAGAAGTATATTTTAAACAAATACAAAGACAATGATTCAACATACAAATATAAAAAACACAATGTACTTTTAGGGCGCTAGTCAATGTGCCATTCAATAATTCATGATTGAGGTCTACAGTAACAGGTCCTTGAAGACGGAAGCAAGCAGAACTCAGATTTTCTGTTGTGTGGGTGCAGAGAAAACAGGTTTGAGTTAAATAAAGTTTCTGCTTCTTTGGAGTTCAGTTTGAAAGAAGCTGAGGGAGGGGATAATATGTTTGACAATAAATGTACTCACTAACTTACATATGTAACTCTAACTTTCTGTATATCACCTTGACAATAAAATGAAATTAAAAAAAGAAAGGAGCTGAGGATATGAAATGACAATCTGAAGAATTATAACGGGACAGGGATCAGCAGTGTGACTTGCAGACAAAATTTGGTCAGCTGACTGCTTTTCTAAACAAGGCTTCTTAGAAACTAGCCTTATCCATGCAGATAAGTATTGCCCATGGCGTATTTCAAACTATAAAGATAGAGCTGAGTAGAGGCCTTGTGGCTGCCTAAAACATTTGAATCTTTATGGAGTTTGCCAACATCTGGATGAAGGGAAAGGCTTTTATTCACTTATTCTGAGAGGCCATGTATGAAGAGGACATCCGGTATGCCACAGACCTCACTTCTATTTTCTTGTACAGAAATGTCTTATACAATTAGCTTAGGCTCAGTGTCTTAGATTTAGGCATAAGACAGGTGATTAAGTGATTCAGTTAAGCAAGAAGAGGTGGGGGCATGCTCAGTGGTGGATTGTTTATCTGGCATGTATAATGCCGTGGGCTTGATACCCAGCACTTCAAGGTGAAAGAATGTTAGGATTATTGCATTGACTGTTAAATTTATTTGGGAATTACAAGTACATTATGATTAAAATTCGTGAGTATTTATAATACTCATAATTTATTTATATCAATTAAAATGCAGGGGTCCTAATAGATTAGAAATTTAGTGGGGCTCAAAGAATTTATAACTCCTTAGAGTTGCTTCTCCTTCATGTTTGCAATTAGAGATACATCTGTATATTTATCTTTTGTACCTATGGAGTATGCACCTCACAAGAAGGACTGGATGATATGCTGGAAGGTTGCATATGGCAAATGAGCCAAGGTCACCTTGACAATGAATCTGGAAATGATGGACTGTGGGAGCAAAATTGATGCTTCCCCAAATGAAAGCATTAGGTCAAAGGATCACAGGAGGTCAAAGGATTGCTCATTCAGGAGATGCTCAAGGGTGGGGAGTATGTAGGTCTAACTGAACTGTACATTTCCACTGCAAAGAAGAGCTTGACATCTAATACAAGTCAATAGCTGTTTAGATATTGTTGCAAAAAGTTTAGTAAAAAATGGGATGAACAAATCGTTATGTGGAAAAATGAACTTTACAACTTTGGTAGGGGGGTGGGGGGATGAGGGAGATAGAGATGGGAAGGGGAAACAAAGGAGAAGGCAACAATGCTTGATAAGAAATGTACTCATTATCTTGCCCATGTAATTGTAACCCCTCTGTATGGTATTTTCACAATAAAAAAAAGAAAGAAAGAAAAAAAATAGCCTCTAATCTACAACCCCTAACCACCTATATTATTACTCTTAAACAGAATGTATTTAGAGCAGAGTTAAATCTTGACAAATGAGGTAAAAGCCGTTAATTTTACAATTTAGCATTCTTTGGATAATGTGTTTCCCATAGGAATATGTAGGCTTTGTTATTTTGCCAAATAACTAAAGAAACACAGTAGATAATAGTAGAACATTCTCTATCAGAAAAGATAGTTCTGTAAAAATAAATCATTTTAAACTTTTTTTTTGGTGCTAGTATGGAGACTTGAACCTACACCTTCACACTTTGGCTATTTTTTGTTCAAGGCTGATGATCTAAGACTTGAGTGACAGTTCTACATAGAGCTCTCTGCCGGTTAATGGAAGATAAGAGTCTCAAGGACTTTTCTGTCCAGGCTGGTTTTGAACTACAATTCTCAGATCTCATCCTCCTAAGTAACTAGGATTACATGAGTGAACCACCAGCACCCAACTCACATTCCACTTTGGAAAATTATGAATAATATTTTATTTTCCTAATAAATATATGCATATATAGTTCATTCCTTGTTCTGTACTCTAAAGAATGCATAGATGTGGGTAGTTCATACTGTAAGGTATATTAATGCAATTCTTCTTCCAATAAGTAATAGAATGAAATCCAATCTACTGAAAGAACACTATTGATTTGAAATGAAATCCTTAAAAGAGAAAAATGTCTGAATTTTATTTTATCATTCAACTGGAAAGTGTGACTGATTCATTTAATTGACTTTGAAATCTGTTTTAATGGAATTTCTCTTTTGCACAAGCAATCAGCCCCTAACATTTTGATTGCAAAATGAAAGGTATTCACTTCAGCTTCTTTAATTATTACTCATTTAAAGGACAGTGTGAAACCCACTTTTCCAGTTGGTGTTTAGAAAGGGAAGGAATGACAAATCAGCCAGCTGGAGAATTGAGAAACTGCTAGCTAGTCCGGCTGGAGTCTCTGTGGATACTTCGAAGTAGGAGGAAAAGTGAATTAAAGGGGCCATTAGCCACACATGCTCAATGAATGAAATACTAACACAATTTCATGACATCTTAATAACAAGTGGATGTCACACTTAGAGACTTACTCGACATAATAAGTGCCATATATGGGATCATCGATTTTTTCCCAGCCATACGGAAGCTCTGCAAAATAAAAAGAGTTATTTCTTTCAGTAAATAAAGCACAGATATCACAATTTCCTCATAAAAAACTAATATAATTTAATTGTTCATGGATTGCAGAAATGGTCTACCAAGGCAGAATAAAACATTCCGAGTTAGCACCAAATTTCAGATGCATCTTGTAGGAAGTGGAAGAAGCAGTGATTTGAAAATTGGCAGTTAAGACGCCGAGCTGTCTCCTCTGCAGATCGACTGCTGGGTCTAGCTATTTTACCCACGCCAAGCAGTAGGGTGGCTTATCATCACGTTATCACCATTCTGTGCAACCCAGAAGGCAAATTGCTTTCCCAAAAGTGCATACGGCCCTCTTACTTATTTGTTTTGCTAAAGGAGCATTTCAGGATAAAAATCACATTTTCAAAATATATTTCTGAGGATTGCAAATTGTTTCAGATGACTGAAACAAAGACAGTATAAATTCCCAATTGATCCTCTACTATTGGAGCTGGTTAGCATGCTGTTTACTCCATGTGGGTCAGAATTTGAATGTTGCCAGTTTATACTCACTGGGCATATTTTAAAGTCTGAAGTTCTAAGCATGATTTCCTTAACAATATGGTTCATGTCTCCAATTTTCCATGGTTAATTTTAATACGCAAACACACTGAAAACGTCAACAATACTATAAATTGTACTATTGGCATGAAGACGTCATTTGAAAGCTATGCTTTGCCTCTTGATACTATTTTTGTACACACCCAGCCTTTATATTTTTGTATATTTGCCACTACTAGAGTTTGAATTTAAAAACCTCATGCTTGCTGGGCTTGCCTGCTCAAGTGGTGCTCTACCACTTGAGTCACACACCTCTAGTCTAGTTTTGTGCTGTTTATTATAGAGGTTGAGTTTTCCAGATTTTTCTTTCCAGGCTGGCTTCCAACTGCAATCCTCTGGATCTCAGCCTCCTGTTAGCTAGGATTACAGGAGTGAAATCCCAGCAAATAGCTGCACGAAGCCTCTTCTAAGTAACTTTAATAAAGATGAAGAATGTAATATTTCTTTTGATAGATAGCAATTTCATATATATATAATTTCAAAACTAAGACATGATATTGACATGCTTAAATAGTACAGTAATATTTAGCAGTGTCATTAATATAATAGTTAGACATGCTAGTATAAAAAAGAATCATAGTAATCAAAAGGAAATCAGAATTAGTTCTACCATCCAGACATTACCATTTTGGTGAATGTATTTCCATTATTTTCTATGTTAATGCAAATAACTTATAAAGAAATGCATCTGATGATGCATATTAATTTTTAAACCTGATATGTCTCCTTGACAAAATATCAAGGATATCTTTCAATGTAAATGGATGTTACCACATCATACCAGTTTAAGCTTGTAGTGGTAATCTGCTATTCCTAAGTTTGTATAATTCTACAGTCCTCCAAAAAATTCATTGGAGGTTGTCTAGTTTTATCCATATGTATCACCTGTTGTAGACACATAGCATTAATCTTTTATTATTTTCCTAATAATTTAGTAATGATAAATTCTCAAAGAATTTTGGACTACAGGGTCTACATCTTTTTCCACTTTTTTATATATGTTATCAGACGTCCAGCTTCTCCTTTAAAAAAGAGCATTAATGTAAAGCCTCATAGGAAACATGTGAATGGCTTTGCTCTTCAGTACTACTTTGTTAAATGCAGATTCATCGTTCATCCAAAAGCTTTGAGGATATATAGGTTTAGGGATTCAGAACTTCTCTGGTTTGGGGATGTTAACATGGTAACATGGCATAATTGCTTTTAGGACTGAACCAGGGGCTCAGGGGTGGGAGAGGTGCACTTTGTAGCTGAATACAGCATCTCTGCAGCCAAACATGTGGTTCATATTGGAAGGGAAGATTAAGGAAATAATTACCCATATGTTTTTTTAAATCAAATCCTAGCTATTAAAAAATAGTTCATTTGAAGGCTGGGAAAGTGGCTCAGTGGTAGAGTGATTGCCTTGTATGCATGAGGCCCTGAGTTCTATTCCTTACACCACATAAGCAGAAAAGGCCGGAAGTGGTGATATGGCTCAAGTAGTAGAGTGCTAGCCTTGAGCTGAAGAGCTGAGGGATAGCGCCCGGGCTCAGAGTTCAGGCCCCATGACTGACCAAAAAAAAAAAAAAAAGTTTATTTGAGACAGAGGTGAGACTCAGATAGTGGAGCACCTGTTCTACTAAAAATTGGTCCCTGAGTTCAAATCACAGGATAGTGTGGAAGGATATGCTAAGGCCATTGATCATAGAATTCTAGCATGTTAGTAAATACTTTCTTATTCTGAAATGAGACAAAATATGCATCCATCAAAACAATTTGGGTCAAAATTCATTTTAAAGTATATTTACACCTATAAAATAGGTATACATGATCTTGCTTGGGGTGGCTTTTATTTTTTGAAAACAATAAAACTATATTTTATTGTAAAGGCTCACTTCTAGGAAGAAGAGAAAAAGAAAAGAAAAGCTATTCTGCTTTTCTATGTGCTTTCGTGTTTGCCTATTTCAATAGAACAAATACTGTCTCACTCCTCTTTATCAATTTTAGATTGTTCTCATTCCCTGGCTTCAAACATGTATTTAATGGCAGAAGACAGGAAATAGGAAAGATTTTTTACGAAGGGTAAAAAAAAAATACACATTGAATAAAGTTATTCAGAAAATTCAAAACTTAGAGGGTTGGGCAAACATATGCCAAACAAATAGAAGTAAATAAAAATAAATTAAAATTAAAAATAGGATTATAATCTCACTATCAGGCTGAAGACTTCAAGTCAAAATATTAAACATGACAAGAAATTTATAACAATAGAAGTTCCTGTTGATACTGAAGGTAGAACAGTTATAAATATCAGTGTACTGAAGAACACAAGCCACCTTTATAAACATAACTACAGAAGAAGCTACAAGAAATACACAAACAACAAGCATTTTGCTTTTAAGAATAAATCAAAGTGGCAAAATTACAGATACAAAAGAACTAATCATTATGGTTAATTAGGAATATATATGGGTTCTTGCTTCCATCCACTGAGAAAGTATACTCAGGAAAATAGTTTCCAAAATTGTCTACATATTATAATAAATCTTACATTCCAAGCAGAAATAATTAAAATAATAATTTCTGGCTATAATATAATAAAGAGTAGTAAGAAAACTACAAAGAACTTTTACTTAGAAATTAAACAACTCTAAATACCACATCAGAGAAGAACTATATACTGACATTGTAGATTCTCTATAAGCAAGAATGAAAATACTGAATAATGACAATGCAGAAAAGGAGAGGAAATGTTACAGCAAATTTATATGGAAGAATGGAAATAATTAAGGGTGAATTACCAATTTACAAAGCTATAAATATAAAACTTATCATCATTAACCTGTAACCTTGTTGTACAATAGGTCCCTTAAAATTTATTCTTTCTTATTGAGCTATAATTATGTAAAAAGAGTGTTCTCACCACAAAAAAATGATAAATAATGTGAGGTATGGCATATGTTGATTAGCTAGATTTAACTACTCCACCATGCCTATGTACTTCAAACTTCATGTTCTGATTATTGTATGTACTACCTGTCAGCTATAAAAATGTAGCAAAGGCAGCCAAACAGGAACACACAATGCAGAAAGAGAGACTGGGGTGTGGGGGTGGGGGTAGAAGGGGCAGGGAGGGCATGAGAGAAAGACATTAGCAGAAATTCCTATGGTAGAAAATGGTAAAACAAAACAAAACAAAAAACTGGACACCAGTGATTCATGTCTGTGATCCTAGCTGCTCAGGAGGCTGAGATCTAAGGATCATAGTTTGAAGCAAGCCCAGGCAGGAAATTCTAACTAACATAAAACCTGAAGTGGAGCTGTGACTCAAGTAGTAGAGCACTAGCCTTGTGCAAAACATGTCAGAGGCAGTGCCCTGAGTTCAACCCACAACAAGAACAACGGAGATTGTTTAAACACATAGGTTTTTAGTCAATTTACCATACATAGGATATTCCAAGTATAAAAGACATAAAACCTTATTAACATTAGGGGAAAATTCTTTATAACATGGGTATGAAGACTTTTTTTTAATCACAATACAAACTTGGCAAATGCGACTGCAAAAGTACAAAGCAATCTATTTTATAGCTATATATACTGTAATAAAAGTTAAAAAATAAATGACAGACTTGGAGAAAATATTTATTAAATATCAAATAATTAGACATTTATATAGGCATATTTCACCCTGATAAAGGGATAAAGAGCTAACATTCTTAGTAAACATTTTTAAACTGAAGGAAAAATATGTAAAGCTCAATCTGATGTAACAGTAGAAATCAAAGCTCAAACTCATTTTTTCCTACTGGACTCCCACAACACAGCCCACCCACTTTTGACAGCAGATGTATTTGGATTTTCCCACATGCCAGGCCAGAAGGCAATTCTGTAGCAGTGAATACTAGCTAGGAATCTTCTAATTTAATTCTGTCCTGTCACTCCTGGGAGACACTGTCTGATCCCACCATTTGGGGGCGGGGCTGGGAGTGGGGCTGGGGAGAGGCTCAGTCTCTAAGCCTGCCTTCCCAACTTCAGATGCCAAACACAAGGCTCAGGTTATTTTACCCATGCTTTAAAAAAGAGGTCTCACAACTTACTCCTCGGTTTGATTAGTTTGCTAGAGTAGGCTATACAATGGAGGAAAACACTTACCAGTTCGTTGTAAAAGAAATGGCAGGTTGACCCATTGTAACAATGAGATGTACAAGACATTATGTTGAAAATGAACTTTACAACTTCGGGGTGGTGGGGGAGAGAGGAGTTGGTGAGGGAAGGGATGGTAAGGGAAAAACAAAGGAGTTAACAATGCTCTATAGGAAATGGACTCATTACCTTACTTATGTAACTGCAACTCCTCTGTACAGTATCTTTACAATAAAAATATATACAAAAATAAATAAATAAAATTACAATGCCCTCTG